GTTTCCGTCTAGACCTCTAGCTCCTCTGTAACCAACATTCATCTGAACATACAAACATTATGGCATCGTAGGGTTTTGCGCGCGCAGCCCGCCATAAGTTAGCCGGTCAGGCTGCTGCAGAAGAGACTTGTTCGAAACTCTCTCGTCGCACGTCCAGCTAAGAAGGCTGCAGAATTTTTCAAAACGTGTTTTTTTTTTTTTTTTGTACCCGAGTGGAAACCTTAAGTAATCACTTGAGACAAAGAAGTCATAAGGCTGATGTCTAGGCACGGTACATACAGCTGGAGGGTTGGCCATTCGAAGCATTGACCCTTTAGAAATGCCAGGCATGCTTTTTTTTGTCAATGCCTCTCAGTGAAATGGAGCTGGCATGCATCGAGGTTTGGAGTCTTCTCAAAATCTTGATGACCAGAAAAAAAAAAAAAATTAAAGAAAAATAATAAAACAACTAGTCATGAAAATGTAAAGTCATCTAAAAACAATAAACACTTAAAATCCCACCAAGTAAAAGAACATCACATATCATAAGATAATTGTTAATAATAACCATAACAGTTATAATAATTATTAATAATAACACTCCATCAAATTTATAACAACTACATTTAGCACTGTGTATAGGAAGATTGTCCAAATGGAGTCGTGTGTTTCTGCTCTTCGGCGTTTCGCCTCGTTTTATCCTCCAGCCGAAACGTTCCCTTCCGTCACCCGCGCCTCTGATTTCGCTCGATAAAAACAGAAATAAAAAAATAAGGAACAAAAATAAACCCTCTCTCAATGCAGTACCCTCTTCCGTAGATGAGTCGCGCTCTTATCGGCCGCGCTCGTGCAGAATTGTAAACCTTGAGGACACGGCACGGAGCGTGCTCGTGTCTGGTGCAAATATCAGGGGACTTGGTTTGTGCAAAGTTTTGTCTCTGTGTTTCTCTTGGAACTGTGCTTAAATTGCTCTTGTTTTATTTTTTTTTGTAGTTTTTTTTTTTGTGTTTTTTTTCTTTGTTTGTACACATTGATACTTGATACATCATGACGATATCAACACAAAATCGATAGAAAGAGAGAGCATTTTATATGGACCACAGATATCACATACTACAGTATATAGGATAGGATAGCCCTTAGTATTGATAAGCGTTGTTATTGATGATTTTTTTTTCTACTTTTTTATATATTTTTTTCTAACTCATACTGGCTGAAGTGCATTATGATACAGCAAGTTCCTTGTCTTGAAGATGTGAAGGGCTTCCCAACCGTCCGAGTCTCTCACCCCCACTCCGGACTCTGAGGATGTTTTTCTCGCCGGCTCGCTCCGAAGACAAGCCTTTGACTGCACAAAACATCACTGGCTTGTATCATTTGTGGTAATAACTAAGTGGTGATTGTCAGACCAGCTTCCAGGATTGATACTTCCTTTGTATCTCCAAAAAGATGGCTTTGAAGGACAGTTGTGTAAGTGCAACCTCTTTGTGCTCTTTGTATGCAAAACGTATTACACAGCGAGTCGCCTCTCTGGAGGTAAACTGAACACATGCTTCTTCGTTTTGGGTAATATTAAAACACATGGCTCGGTATTATTTGGTAGGGCCTGATCTGTGAATGGAAACAGCAGGGGAAAACTTCAGCCCCCTCACCCCAGAAAATGACCCTGTACCGTTCTTGAATCTTGGCTTCCTTGTAGCGTCGCTGTGGTCAGAGTTTTGCGTTCCTCTGACGATTTAAAATCTAAGGTCACGTGGAAAAATTAGGCAACCCAGGTGTCGGATTGTTAATTTTGGGTCCGTCCTCGGTTTGAAATTCAGGCGAGGAGTCCTGCTGGAAAACAGCCTTGACCACCAAATTAGGAAGCAAAAAGCGCAGTTCAGTCTCCTTGTGTCAGGATGAGGTTTTGTTCTGCAGAATGTAAAATATCCAAAATGTTTCACCATGCAGGCACAATGGTCTTTGACACTGATCTGGTTTCCTCAGCCTAACACGTCGACATCAGTCCAGGCAGCTGGCTCTCTCCTCTGAAGTCCTCTGCTTCCTTAAACCAAGTTTTTAACGTCTCATTCTTTATTTCTAATATGGCTCCTGAGTACTTCTTGAAAAACATATTTATATGTATATATGTGTGTGTATATGTATATATTTATATATAGATATAGAAAAACTAAATCATGAACTACTCCTCTATTGGTTTTGTTTCACCAGTCCTTCTACGAGTAATGGCACTGCTGTATATGGCGATATGGCAAAAATCGGTTAGAAAATATGGCTGATGTAGGCTATCACAAAGGTGTCCCCACCTAGACTTTTAGTTTTATAGGTAGTCATATTCAAGCTAATCTGATTAAAGAAAAAACTAATTTGAATAGCCTAAACACATTACTGTTACTACTGAATACTTCTAGGTTTATCTGTAGTTGTATCTAATAGTTAAATGCAGAAGGGTGATCTGTTCCCCTGCGTCTAAGGGATTTTTACCTTACACCGTCACCTCGTTCTTACTGCCCGTCCTGATCCCCTGACTGCCTCCTGCGCTTCCTGCAGACCCCCCGCCGGCACCGGCGCCGCCTCCTCCTCCTCCTCCTGGTATGAAATGTAGCTGCTCGATGGTGTTCTGCCTTTTCGCTGCGAAAGCCATCCTCCTGGCGCTGTGGCCCCCCAGCGTTCCCGTTCCCATGACGACCCCGGCTCCGGGCACCTCCCCCGACCAGCCCACGCCCCCGCTCACGTGACTCGTCATGCCCGTGCTCCTCTCCTGCTCCCGGCCAGACGTGGGGTGAGAGTTCATCTTGATCATGTGGTGCCGGTCGAGGGAAGGCGTGGCGCACACGTTCTGCTGGGACTGGGCCTTCTGCTGCCGCGGCAGCGTTGGGACGATGCCGGTTCCCGTGTGGGCGTAGGGGTCCACCACTCCCATCCCGCTGACCCCCATCCTGTCCTCCAGGTGCTCCGGGGACATGAGCATCCTCTCCTGCCTGTCCTGAATCTCCTGCCTGTCCTTCGTCTTCCTGGTCAGGGTTTGCATGTTGGTGTTCTTGTTGGAGGCCGCCATGGCTTTGTGGTACTGGTGTTGCTGGTTCTTGGACATCCGAGACAGCGTCCCGGTGTTGCCGGGGACGTCGCCCATGTTGAGCAGCTGATCGCTGGACTTCACTTTCCTCGGAGGCTTGGACAGAGTGTCGTAGTTGGGATTGTACTGGGGCTCAGGAGGGTCCAGAGGGTAAGGATTGGGTGTGGGGGAGGCAGGCATGCCAGAGGGGGGCGGTGGGATCCAGGGACGGATGGCGTGTCTGGGGAGGGTTCCTCTCCCACTGAGGGTGTAGTCTCCACCCCAGTGGAGGTGGTGCTGCGAGGACTGGAGGGCCGGCTGAGCCGTGTGGGGTCGGCGCTTGGTGGTGCAGTAACCAGACGAGTACTCATCGAGTCCTTTCTCTGAAAGCCAAAAAAAAAAATACGTCTGCGAATTAGGGCTGCAAATAACGATTATTTTCACAGTTAATCTGATTTTAAAAAAAAGTCACATTCTGCAGATTTTTCACTGAACCACTTAAGCCTTTTTTTAAATATATATATACAATTTTAAAAATACGTTGAAAGATGTGAATTAATCATTTGTAGCACAGGATAAGCCTACAGATAAAAACACTACAATCGTCAACGTTAAAATCTCAGCCCTCGCTCCTTGTCTTACCATCAATACACCACTATTTTTTGGATTAACTGGTAAATAATTGGATATCAATTATTAATTAATTATTAATTATTTCAGCCCTAAACTGAATTATTTACATTGCCTCAAAAAAATATTCACACCTCTTTAACTTTCCCATATTTTGTCATATTACAACAACAATCTTCAGCACATTTGATTAGGATTTTATGTGATAGGCCAAAACATGGCAGACATGATAGTGAAGTTCAGAAAAAACAATACGAATAAATAAAAGCAATTAGTATTTAGTAGTCTTGTCAATCGATTAAGACATTTAATCAGATTACTTATACTTAACGCTGTGATTAAGTGATTAGTACTGTAAGCTTGAAATGTAACGTTTTCAAAAAGAAAATATTTTATTATCACCAAACATCTCAGTTTTTCCAAGTTTTAATATTTAGGAAGGTTTAAAATAAGTCATTTGGTTTCAAACGTAATTTAGAAATGCTAACTATGCACTATTTTGAATTCCTGCAGCTTTTGTCGATTCTTATTTGAAATTCCAAACAGCGAGGAATTGCAATAATTCAGCCTTGAAGTGGTAAAGGTGTGCAAGTCGGCTATAAAATCCTGGTTTCATGTCAAACATACATCACAGTGTTTTTTAAAGCGCTGAGTAAACCAGCCAGACTCGCCTCGTTCATCTTTTCCTTCGCATTTCAGACTGCATTGCTGAACGCAGTACAAGGCCGCGCTGCTGTGAACTGAGTAACCCTATTGTTACAATTAATCCGCATTATGTAATATTAACACGTTAAACTTTTTAGATTAATTGCATAAATTAATAGTAATTAGTCAACCTCTGAGTAATTTGCTTCATTTTATTGACGACTGTGCTTATCTGAGGGGTTTCTTAGAGAAGATTAGCGAGGAAACAGAGTCACGAAGTCCAGTCGAGGTTCTCACTTGGCAACTATTTCCTTCTCCCATCTTCCCAACCAAACAAAATGAGAAAACGAGATTCTAGGTGGGGATAAAACGCAGTGCAGTGCCACACAAAGTGTGTGAGCTAGTGTCCCCATTCTCAGCACCAAGAAAGGGATGGCTCCTGAACACAAGGGGACGCCCACTCCTCTTTATCACGCATAAAGCAATAGAAAACCTTTCAATACAATAAATAATTAAAAATTTGCATGTCGGGCAACACAGAAGAAGATAAATGACCACAGCAGAAAGCTCAGATATAGCATTATTGAGGCATTTAAAGTAGAGATAAGATTATCAATACAAGCTTTGAACATCTCACAAAGCACTAATCAATCCATCATGGTAAGAGGGAAACAGACTTGGTAAATAATCTCACATTAAAATCATCCAGTCCAAAGTCAGACCTAAATCATGTCGAGAGCTCTTGGCAAAATAGAAAAAATCATGCAGGCAGACGATCACAATACAACCCTGAAAAGCAAATTAGGCAAACCTTTGAGGCTCTAGATGTGCAAAACTGGTAGAAATAACCAAATAAGACTTGCAGCTATAACTGCACAGTTATTTCTACAAAGCAATTACAACGATACCTTCTGTGAGTTGTACAGCAGAGTATTAGGCTATGAGAATTTGTTTTATTGCAAGAAAATAGTTATAGTAGTAGTAACTTTAGCAAAAAAAAAAACATCTTAAAATTATGAGAAAAAAATGTTTAATGAACATAAAGGTTCAATAAAGTTATGAAGATATGACATGAGCATCTCAGTTTGAGCAGCCCCTTCCTTGAAATTCACACAGTTGTTTGAATGATTGTTGCACAAATCCAGCTACTGATAATAATTTGATGCTGATGTGTTAAAAGTCTTTCTGTCAAGTAATAAGTAATATCTGTAAAACCTGTACCGAAGAATAACTTCACAAGATGCTCAACATTCCTAATTTTATTCATTTTTTTGCTATTTTTCGTGTAGTTCTCATAAAACCACTAGTTCCTTCAAATTTTACGACTGTATTCTTGTAACATTATAAGCAGGATGGCGACCCTGGGCGTGCTGACATCACTCTGACATCACTAGTGGAAAAATAATCCACGTTTTCCAAAAAACATTAAACCTTCAAAAACCGAAAATTTGATAGCTCGATTGGTTGTAATGCGACCTAACGCAGCAAAGGTCAGCGGGTGCAAATACTTTTGCTCCACTGCAAAAACGAGACCACACAACGATGCATTCTACTCCAACAGCGTCGCCACGCTGAAGGGGTTATGAAACATCTGCAGGCGAAGAAGGCGGGAGGAGACGGCAGCGCTCACCGAGGCGTTTGAGTGAGGAGTATCTGTTGAGCTCGGGCTTGGTGGCACTTTCGTAGGAGGGCGGCAGCTGGGCCAGGTTGTGCAGGGAGTGGTGGAAGGACGGCTGGGACTTGGTGTTGTTGTGTTTACTGGAAAGCAGGGTGCCTCCAGCTGCCAGCTGAGCATTGTTCATCCGAGGGGTGCGCTCTACAAAAACCACAGGGAGAAAACGACTGCGTGTTAAATGAGATTTGCTCCTCTGGATGGGAGCGCGCTGCGTTTTTGCAGGGTGCGAATCCTCCAACGTTCACTGGGAAAACGGGAGACCGGTTTCCAACTCGCTTTCAGCGCTGACACAAGCAACCGGAGCTGTGATAATCATTATTATTGTTCGGCTGAATGAGCCTACATCTGAGCTTAAAATGTAGGTGAATGAAGCAAATGAAGAATCTGGGTGATTGCATGCGATTTACATGGAAGCCGTGATGTGAGCAGCTGCCTTACCGATAGTCGCAGTGTGTTTGGGGCTGGAGCCTGATGAGTGGATGAAATTGTGCTGCAGATTGCCCACTGTAAGTCAGAGAAAAATAAGGTAATCAGCTCACAAAATGGATGTCAGGCAGTTTGAAGATGAATGGCGGTTTAGCAAAAAACAATGAGGCCCCGCACACGAAAACCTCCCGATGCATGTTCATTTAGCAGTTTTTAAGCCAGAAGAAGCCGTTTCTGCAATCATTCTTAAGCACAACACCACAGGGGATTTTTGTGTCCTATCTAATCATGGAGAAATCTCAGTGGTGGGGCGCAGGGGAGAAAAGTACACAGATGAGCCCCCTCTGCATATAAAAGATGCTGTTACAAAAGCACTCTCTAATTCTGCAAGAAGCCCTCACATCTGTTGTCCTTGCTGGGCACTCCCGGGGCGTAGAGGTTTTTCGGAGCTCTTCCCAGCGTCCCCTGTCCGTCCGCTACAGTCAGAGCCACGCTGTTGTTTCTTTCGTCCTGCTGGACCGGACTGGACTGGTGTCGCAACATGTCAACCAGGGCTCTGGTGAGAAATAAGAGACGGTGGGGGGGATCGGCCACAGATCAGCAGCTGTGCTCTTCACACTGACAATAATTCAGCATTCAAATCGCCAGAGAGCAGTTTTAATGATTTTTGATGTAATTAATTGTAGGCAGCAAAATAATGTCAGTTTGATGAAGAGACAAGAGCTTTTGCAGTACATTTCAAAATGACCTGTAGCAGCAGTGCTCGTAATACACCTAAGAGACAAACAAACACTCGATGTAGCTCAACAGCGATCGTCATCCAGAGCCGTTTACAACAGTGTCCTCTTAAAAATAAGACAAAAACAAATATCCTGACTGGTTTTAGGCTACAGTTGCTTTAGGGCTGGACAATAAATCAATAACAATATATATTGTGGTAGCACATGATCAATATCAATAGATTATTACATCTGATAGAATGTTCAGTATTCAATTTGTAGAATATTCACTAAACTCTGATCCAGAACCGCACAGCATTATGGGGGATGTAGGAAGAGGAAAGGCTTTGACCGCTCAACCTCGGCAAGCTAAGCAAAGTTAAGTGGTATCAACTAACTCTCTCTTTGGTTACCTAGCAACTCGCTCATTCTTCGGTTACCTAGCAACAGTTCAAGGTTCCACCACCAAGCCTTATAGCTGCTAAAAAAAAAGAAAACCAAAGGCGTAAAATGAAAACTGTTGACAAAGCAGTAAATGTCGCGTTCCCAGTTTGGCAGAATTTCAGACATTTTAAACAAAAAACAACTCAATAATTATTTACGTCGACTGACATGAAACTCTTATGTCGTGATACGTTTTTCAGCCATATTGTCCAGGCCTAGGTTACATATTGGGAACACATGAGACACGACAGTCTTATTTGTAATTAACCCCCATTTTTAATCACTCAGTCATCATCATGCTCCCTGTGTTTACCATCTGGGTCACCAAATGTTTCTGGGTGATAAACTGCCCCAGTAATTATTGAGATAAAAAAAAAATAAAAATAATGTTGCTTTTAGACCATTTTCAATTAATGTTGCCCTCTCAAAAACCAATCATTTTTAATTTTGTAAAAAGCTCTTACTACTGGAACTAGAAGACATTTTTAAATATCCAAAATAAAACACGACAACCAAGAACAACAAATAAAACAGGAATAAAAACACACACAACAGAAACCACAAATAAAATAGAGTATGATCTCTCTGTAACCAAAATTGCCCTTGAAAAATTATTAATCACCGAAATTTGTGACAGGCTTAATTAAAGCCTAGAAATATTGCATATAATATTACTAGGCTATAGATTCAACTTACAATTTAATACGCCATGCACAAAACCATCATACTGTTCCTCCTAAACACCTTTTGAAAGAAACGCAAGATAATGTGTCAATGTGACTTGTTACTACACACTGCTGGTCAGCTGCCTACACTTTTTCCTTGTTGAGAAGAAAAATAATTTCAGCTGACTGTAAATACGTACGGTTTCTCGTTTTAAACTAGAGTTGGTGAGCTAAGACTAGCATGTCCAACTGACTGTAGCTCCGGCTACCTTAGCAGATAACTCCACTAGTTAAGCAGCTAATGCTAATGCTAGTTCACTGGAGTCCAAGTGTCACTTTATGCTGAAACACTTTAATACTCAAGATAAACATGAACTACTTTTAATTTAGAAGTAGTTTAAATAAATTCCTTTCACTAGATTAAAGTAATAATCTAAACTGTTAACTGCTACTATATTCCATTTTCATAGTGAATGGAAAAAAGAAATAAAAATACATCAATTCCATACATTTGTTTTACATGTCAAATTAAAAACTATATATATTTTTTAACATTCATATATTAAATATAAAATTTATTTTAAAATCACACATTTACTATTTTAAATAAAGAAAAAGCATATTTGTCTCATTTATGTTATAAAATTAAAATTATAGGGGGGAAAATGTATTACTAAAGATGTTTTAAAAGGTTTTAGATTTATATAATATGTAACATTATCACCATGATCAATATGTTATAATATTTTTGTAGCAGTAGGAATAATTGGTAGTTTCCATTTTAAATAAATAAATTATGTTATACATTTTTCTTTAAAATGTTTCTTAAAAAACACCCTGATGCTATGACTATCTGCTGTTTTTACTTACTGAGAACCTCATAGTAGCCAAGAGTTTCACTGAAGCTACATAAACAAGGTCAACTATGTGTCGTGTGACAATTAACAGCCTTATTCTACACGACCTGAAGACACGTTTTCAGCTAAAGTGATGAAATGTGAGGATGTGGAAGCCTTACCTGGGCATATTCAGATCTCTCTGGTTGGCCTCCTGTTGGACCTTGTTGAAACACACCTTGATACCCACAGCGACGGCCACCATGAACACAACAACGCCACCGATGACAAATCCCGTGTTGTGGCTCTGCTGCTTCAGCGGATCGTAGTCCGGGTCGGGACCCACCTCCTCTGGGATCATCATGGCCTCTGTCTGTGGCTTGGCCCAGTCTGGAGAGTTGTAGTTTGTACAGAGGTCCTGCACCAGCTTGCGGCTTTGGTCTGGACAGCAGAAGCGGTAGTGGCATGTTCCGCAGCAGTAGATGTAGGAGTCCTTGGAGCAGTTGAAAGGATTGTCAAAGTGTCCCATCACGTCGTAGTAACCCCAACAAACATCTGTCCATCCATCCATGATGCGAGGTGGGAAGTGGGCTGCTCCAAAATGGTCCCCTAGACCCTCTGGAGAGGTCGCATTCTTCGGAAACGTCACCTGAGCCAGGGGCTTGGGAAGCGGTTCCAGAACTCCCTCTGAGGTGTCTGGAGGCTCCTCGGGGGCTTTGGGTTTGCTTCGGAGAGCGGCTGGCCTGGCATTGGCCTGGATGGCAAGGAGCAGGAGAGAGGAGCTGGAATCGGCGTCCGGCTGCTCGGTGAACGGCCTCCCTGAGCGGTCTACATGCTGAGGAGGAGGGGACGAAGAGGGCTCCACCGCGCTGGTAAGAGGGGCAGCAAAGAGGGAGAGCAGGGAGACGGCGAGGACTCGGAGATAGGTGGTGGGCGTCATTTTTACATGACTAAGACACCTATTTTCTGTTGTTGAGTCAATGTAGTTACAAAGCTTTATCCGCTTTTCCAGCTTAACCCACTAAAACGCCATGTGAAGAATTTAATGTACAGCCTTCTGGATGTCAACGATGTATCGCGGATTTCATTCAGGAATGCTAAATAATATCATTTTTAAAAGAAAAAGCCTCCTTCCGTCAGTTTATGAGCGCATTTGTGTGTGTGTGTGTTAGTATTTAATGGTAATGGTAATAAAATTGTTTTTATTGCGTCTTATGAAGGATCCCGAAAGCATAATAGCTTTGTTCTCATCTCTCTTAAAAATACCCTGTTGGATACGGTTTCAATTCCTGGCCCCAATAGTCCTTTATGAGTACCAAATTGATTCAATAAAACAAGACACTCCTGTACATTCGTCTGCTGACTCTGGCACTTGAGAAATGGTTCACAGGGAGTGTTTTGTCTGTTCTATTCATCTTCCGCTAACTAGTTCAGTCTGGCACTTTCTACATTCAACACTTAATTAATTTGTAGGCAGATACTACTATCAGAAGAAACGTACGAGAATAATGCTCTAACGAATTTGGGGATTTTATGCCCGTCAAACAATGTGGATCAATATTGTCCATTAATGCAGACTCATTTCGGAGGACTCCATCGGGATCAGTTTGGTCAGCGCTCGCCTGGCACAAGCCGTTACTGTGACTGGACTGTGGGTGATAATGAGGAAGGCTCTGCTTATGTGCTAGAAGGCGGAAAAAATTACGAGCACACATGAAGCAGAACGACTGCCGGCCTTTTAAAACGTGCAGCAACAAGAGCTAAATGCCATGGTTTTCAGGCAGATTTTTATGAGAAAAAAAAGTCGCCCTTGTCACTCAGCTGTATCCTTAAATAGATATGAGATGAATGGCACATTGCTTTTGCATGTGACATGTCAGTCGGAGCAGAATTATTCCTGATTTATCTCCAGGGGGTTCAGAGAATATCACTTTTGTTGAGAGATATGTAAATGTGTGAAGTTATTGTACTGGAGGTGTTGGCAATAATAGACAGAGGCAGATCTGTCTCCCACAGAAATTATAATTATATGTAATTATCAAAACGTCCCTATCTGTAGCAGAGAATGTAGGCACAGATGGGGGAGACAGAATGCTGAAATCACCGAGGGCTCCACTTGTTTCACTTACATGCTCCTCTAACCTTCTTAGGAGGGTTTGGTTGTGAAATAAAGAGTCCCACAAAGCAGCAGTTCATCCAATGACTATTACTCCACGGGGGGGTGTTTCTCTTCTTGTTGTCTTTAAAAGGCTTGATGGCCAAAACACTCTCCAGGTTAACAAGTCGACAATCAGATCTGCAACATGCAACAGAACAAAAAATTAACAGATGTTTTGCCAACGTTGTGGCTTAGGAAGAGCAAACTCACATGACAGACATGTTTTAACTTCTTGGATTTGTATCTTTTTGAAAACAAGGACATCGTAGCCCCATATGTAATCTGAACCTCGGGTTAGACATGGTCAAACAAGTTCAAGTTAACAGTAAGTTTTAAAAGGATACATCACAATTTAAAGTGTTTATCTGGAGTTGAAAGGTTTCCTACCAAATAAATCAGAGCGATGGTAGGCTAACAGCTAGTCAGATGGACTCGTCATTTTAGCTAATTTAAACAAATTAAAGCCACTCAAGCTGAAAATTATTTAATCTATATGAGTCAAAGTTATATCAGCAGAGTTTAAACACCTACACTTTAATAAGATACCATGAATCTTTTCCCTTACGTTTCTTTAGCCGACAAAAGTCTGTTACTACATTAGTTATGCTGAGCTTCTTCTTCTTCTCGATTTTTTTATATTTTTTTTATTGGCGGTTAGCAAGAAACGTTAGATATGCATTACCGCCACCTACTGGTTCTTGAAGATTTAATTTAATTTTAACGACTTAATAAATCAAAATACATTAGTGGATATTAAATTTCGACACTTCAGCATATTTTTGTTGCTGTTTTATAAGCCAAACCAGTTGCTACGTTAAACATAGGTTGATGGTGATGGTTGTATAAATCCTCACAGCAGAGGTAATATACAGGTAATATCCATATGTGTGGAATACAACACTATGCCAAAGGAGCTGTCAACGAGATTGTTTTCAGCAGGGCACTGTCCGTATTACCATGCTAAATCTGTGCTGGCTGCACCAATCCACCATCAGCTGCTGTCAATCCACTCTTATTTTCCAGTTGTTCTCACAACTGGAAACTTCTGACTTCCCCGTCGTAAAAAAATCAACTGGAACGCCCTCTAAAGTCGGATTTCCCACTGGGAAACTGGGAGCAACTTTGATTATTCCCAGTTACAACTTGTAAGGTGGACTTCACGTTTCAATATGGCCACTCCTGGCATCAGCAGTGGTAAGATCTAAAACCAGTGTGACATAAAGTGCCCGCAACTCTAAACTGAACAAATTAAAAGTGGTGTTTGCTTATGGAAAGTAAGATTTAAATTGATGTTTGAAAGAGCTATTCCAAACAAAGTTTATATGTTTCGCCATGTTGAAATTCCAACTTCTTAACTGGAACGCTGTTACCTTCCTATTATTGTGAAGCAGAATTCACAAAATATTGGATTTTTACCCACTAATAGGGAACGTGAGATCCGAAACAGAAAATTTGCCTCACAATTACACTCACAATGATGATGATGTATAGGAATGATAAACCCAGTAGTTTCTGCCGGGGAAGTTTCACATAGTCACACAGATGCTGAAGCCTTATGGCAAAGTGTTTTGACATAATATTGAAGATATTTTGAATTATTATTCTTACTAGTCAGAGTGTAAATGCATATTATCTTAAATTACAATTCAGGATAGTCGAAATGCAATTGTGTCTAGTCAAAATACATTTTTAGATACCGAGTACATAATTATAGTCACACAAAACCAATTCTATGACCTGTCATGGTAGCCTGACCATTGCTACTCTTTTTCACTCGATTCTAATCTCACTTCACTGCTTTGTCTGGGCTTTCTCCCATTGAAGGGCATTTCTCTAGCAGAATTTCAACCTGGCGAATCAGCAAGCAGAAGGAGAAGCTGTGAACGATAAAGTTTTTCTGCTCTGTTTTAGAACCATAGTCTGCCTGTAGTTTCAGCAATGGCAGCGGAGGAAGTGAACAAAGCCATTCAGTCCATGTTGGTCATGTTTCAAAATATTGAATTTGCATTAACAGCTGTCTTGTTCAGCTCAGTACTTCCCTGTTCACGGTGGAGGATGGTTGTTTACAGCACATGCAACTTCTGGTAAGCTTCATAGCACTGAACTAGCGCATTACAAATGTCATGGTCAAATGTTAGCCTTGGCCGTGGCAAGGCTAACGACTGGGTAAAATGTAAAAATTCAACAGAGTTTACCCTTCCAACGAGTGATCCTTTTTAAATAGCTGAGAGTTCAAACCCTTTGTACAAAGCAAACGGCGTAGAACAAGGTATTCGTTTTTACCAGTTTACAGATGTTGTTCAACTGAGAAAACAAAAACTTATGAACAGTCTTTAGTGAAATAAACATTTTCAGCTTGAGTTGTTTCATATTGGTAAAATAACTAAAACAGGGTTAGCCATCCACCTCTGAGGATTTCTTCACATTTTGACAAACACATTGCAACTTGATGTGTTTTTGCTGCAGGTAAGGAAGCTGTTCCTGATCATTAAAAAAAATCTGAACCATTAGTTTTAAGGGCACGTTACGCTTTGTTTTCAGTTCAGTGACATGGGCCAAACTGCCACATATAGGCCTCAAATTGCAACTTTAACGTTTGGGATTGGTACTTTGGTATGCATGAAAACATTTTAGAAATAAAGGAAATTTTAGCAATACAAAGCAGAGAGCCTAACTATCAGTCTACTGTCATTTGCAGGCATTAAAGAAACTTGTGTGGGTAGTTGATTGAAAGTACAGTTTGCCCAGAGGACAACAACCTCGTAATTCCTGACCTGCACACCTTCGTCAACCCTTGAGTGTGCTTAATTTTTGGGGGCGATGCACATGTTGGCGTGAATTGTGGGAGAGTGCGGATTGCATATTAGTGTGCTTGTTTGGTTTGCAGGAAGGAACACAGAATCTCCTGAAAAAGCCAGTGATGGAAAAGAGTGCAGAGGGATAAATGCAGGGTAGGGATTTAAACGAGCAAAGAGATTGTGGCGAGCGGGAAGAGCCAGAGGTATAGATGCAGAGACGACCATGAGTGGGAGGGCGGTGTGTGGGTGGCACAGAATCAAGTACATTTCTCCCAGCACTTACCAATACAACACAGCACATCACACAAACACCACCACCAAACAGATCTGCTAATGCAAGTCCATGCCACACGCAAGAAGGAGGAGAGTGGTGATCAGGACCGCACATCGGCTCCTGTTCGAACAATCAAAGGGGTTTGAACCCGAAACTGCATGTGAAGGATACAGTCGGTGTTCTGTAAACCTCCATGTAGTCTCTGCCTCTCTTTTTATTCTTCCTGCTCCCTCCTTCCCCTCTTTCTCCCTTGTTCTGCCTTTCTCTCTCTTTCTCAGATTCTGTGCGTGGGTTGAGGCAGCTAACTCTCTCAGAATAGCAATGCAGCTCTGTCTGTGTGTGAGTGAAGGAGGAATTGAAAGGTGGGGGAAAGGAGGCAGAATCCAATCTACACCTTTTAGTTAAAAAATAAATAAATAAAAATCAGACTCCAAAGTCACATCTATCCATCTCTTTCTCGACAAGATGATACCCATGTCATGATCACATCGACTTGGCAACTCCACTTGCGTCAGACCAGACGTTCAAAAGAAAATGTGTATTTGCAGCTGCACAGATGTTTCTTTCTCAAACTTAATCTGATAAATCTGAATGCACCTCCTCAAGTCTTTCACTGTGCTATTTTCCAGTGAAGTGACTCAAGCCTTCCTCTGGGTGCTGCAGTAGATGGGAGCCAAAGGTTGTAGGGTGCACATACATTCACAGCCTTGAAGATGCACCCCCACCCCACTATTCTCTTCCTCCTCCACTGAGTTTGCACGGCTACAACAGTTGCAAAAACATTCCACCTTTAAATTGCAACACAGCAAACGGGGCTCCATCATTTCCACTGCGGGAGAGAGCGTTTGCACGTCTTAGCATACAATATTCTCAACAGGTGTTTGTTGGGAATGAAACAAAATGGCCACTTCCCCCCACAACCCCCCTCCTCCTCGTTCTCACAGAGAGCGCACTGTGATGTCAGTGGGTGAAAACATCCTGAATACAATCACTGTGCATCTGAGAGACGTTTAATTACAGTGACAGCCGCGGATGAGGGACTCTTTACCAGTGAATACGTGCTGCGCAACGCCTGTGCATCACCAGGCGATTGAACTGGACACCCCGCTCCTCAGACAGCTCTCCATCCTTCATTAGGTTAATAAGTTGCAACTTGCACGGACATGACTTGCATGTATTCAAGCACAGGCTAAAAGTGCGGGGGTGTATCCGTGCCGGTGTGTGCGTACATGTGTGTGCGTCTTATGAATGGTTTTTAATATGTTCATAACGCCGCAGTGCTGTCGATTAATGCGTTCAAATGATGAAAAAGAAAAGACACCCGTGGAATAAAAGCAAACGTGAAAATGTGACAGTGTGGCGCAGCTTTTATCTAAATGCCTTTTCTTGTTGTTTGTATAATTTTTATTTTATTTTATTTTTTGACAGCCTAACAGACGCGCACAAACTCACATTTTCGTGCACATACAAAGACACAGAAAGTACCGAGTCGTTTTTAAAGATGTTAATCGTTAAGTGATGTTGCAGTAATAAAAGGTGCATAATGTCGTGTCTTACCTGTGCGCTGCTCTGGGGTTTGATGCTGTGGAGAGCCTGCGCACTGTACATCTCCGCGCTCCTCTGATGGCAGCCCGTTATCGTGGCAGAAGATGATGAGAACAGATTGAACCGCTGCTGCTAGATGTGCCACTTGTTTTATTTGACTTGATTATTATTATAAATTTTTTTTTTTGTTCCAAAAGCTCTTCCGATCTCAGTTTTCTTTCCTCTCCATCAGGCTTGCTGATAATCCAGAGGTAGACAAGAAAAGAAGAAGGGGGATAAAAAAAAAATAAAAAAAAAACCACCGAGATGTTCTCAGATGTTCTCAAATATGTGACAGTTCATCTAAACCCCGCAGTGGAAATTTCAGAATTACTATCCAAGGAAGGGGGGGGGGGAAAAACGCGCAAAAGTGTGAATTTAACTTTCTGAACCTGGAGCTGACTGACTGACGCTGGTTCCTCTGGTGTCGGTGCCTAACTAACTGCGCCTGGCCTCACGGAGGTCCGTCAGTGGCGGAGCGCTCTGATTGGTCCGTCAGGCTGAACGCTGATGAGACCCGACTCCAGGCTGCTGGATGCTGACGGTCAGCAGGCCCATTCAACTGGTGGCGTTCATCTCCATTTAATTAGCTCCCGCTGAACTGCGTGACCCTACATTATGACATGAAAAATACATTTGTTTAAAAACTTTTTAATTATTATTTTATTCTTTTAAAAAAATAATAATTAGGTTGTTGTTGTTTAAAGAAAAATAAAACAAATCAGACGCACTCCAGCAAGAGGGGGATAAAAAAAAAGAAATTTAAAAAAATATATACAATCTAGATCCAGAGATTGTGTTTGCGTGTTATTTTCTATTGCTTTGCGTGTGTGTGCGCACGGCGGAGAGGAAGAAAAGAGACACAGAGAGGCACGGTTGCCACAGCAACTGTGTCATTATGTTGGTGGCAATTATGAAAGCGATGAAAACGGGTGAGGTGCGGGGAGAGGACTGGCGCAAAAGCTTTAACTCTGGAGCGTGAACGAAACTGTCAATTAGACTCTGAGCTCCACACCGACAGTTCACATTGCTTTAAGTGTGGGACGGGAGAGCCTGGAAAACCAGTAAAGAGGAAGACTGGTCGGAAATGGCAGTGCGTGAAACTGACTTCGCCATCATCAGATCCTGAGAAAGATGAATGAAAATATCTTTTATATATATATATATATATATATATATATATACAAGAAAAACAAAATAGCATGTTCACTAATAATTTGCATCAGGCTTACTGGATGAGTCATGATACTAAAACAAATGGATTACCCAGCCTACAGTATCACTCTTGATTAGAATAATTCTTGAAATAAAAGGTGTGGGCCTCCGGGTTTATCCATGAGGATCCAAAGGAGGTGGATACCAGCTGGTGTGGACGAGGTAAGCACTTTCAAAAAACGGAGCTCAGGGGTATATGGGAGTTATGTGGAGCCCCAGGTGCCTAAGAAGGGCCTGATAATTACCTGCATGGCAGGCTGCTATTTCTACACAGGTGGGTGGGCTGCTGCATGTCTGAGGCAGAGGCCGGTGGAGTCCGCAATTATGGTCCAATGACGCTCTGCCGGGTGCACTTTCACCGGCTAGTTTGCAGGGGTGGATGCAATTAGTCCTTTCCTCATAATGATTATTCCATCAGAGCAGGAGACCACTCTAAACAAAAACAGAACGCTAATTTATATTGCCAGACAGTGAAAATATCACTCTTACACACATAGGAGGACTGGACCTGTATGGTGGGCAGTTATCACAAGATAAAACTGGACACGTTATTAGAACCATGTCGAACCAGCTGAGCTTAATCCTCATGGTACACAGATACATCTCATAATTTATTTAATTTCCCTTTGGGATAAAAGAAGTTTTTTTTTTTTTAATCAAAATGCAAATAGCTCTATATTTTTGTCACTCATTTTATAAAGTGAAACTTTATTGTAATTTTGATTTATAAGTTTTACTGATAATGGAAACATTCAGTGTATCAGAAATACTACGAAAAGGGTAAATATTGGAAACTCAGAGTGTTACATCCCAATTACTATGCTGTAGCCAAGCATATTCAATGAAAGTTGAGTGGAAGGAAAATATCCATCTGCAACAGAGAACCACAGTCTTGAGAGGAATTTGTAGATTTAGGAATGAAGTCTGAAGTCGGCACATTAAGAACCATAACGCACAGTCAAATCCAAAACATAGGCTACAAACGATGCAGAAGACTTTTCCCTGAGCCAGGAGGAAAACTATCTGGACTGTTGCTTAGTGGCACAAAGTCATCTGTGTCTTTTTAAAACCTTGGCGATACACTCAATTGTTTTACATTGAAACAAAATAAAAACAGCAAATAGGACTTGATTTAATTTTACTTGTCATATTTCAATGTTTTATTATTTCAAATAATTTAAAATGGACACAAAATATCCAGCCGTCAGCTGATCCCATAGCAGGAGTTTCACAGGCGTCTTTTCAGAGCATTTCCTCCGGATCTGTGGACCTGACATGCATTTAGAACAGCACAAAATCTGCCCAAGAAACGCTGCCAGTGCTGTGATTGAGGAGGAAACTCGAGCCAACAATGGATGCCTTCTGTAGTTTCTGAAGGGAAACTACAGAAGTTTCAGTAGTGGGAAAGAGTAGGTAGCAAATGCTAACTATGGTTCACCGGATGTAAATCAAGCTGATTTTGTCTTCTTTTTTTTTGTTGTCATTTGTTTTGCATGTTTTTTTTTATAAAAGTTACCAGCTTACCCTGCTCCCTCACGGTGACTGCTCTACATCTTCACACACAACCACAACACAGCCGAGTGCGGACATGTCAAAGATTTGAAAATACTGGACAGTGAAAATATTATTTTTCTTTCTTAAAAACAAAAGAAGAAAACGACAGATTTCCTATAATCCAGTGTTAATTCTTCCATACCTTTATCACATGTAGACCATGATATGAAAAATACAGGTTACAAAAATTCAGCTCTGTGCACTAGCATCGTTTCTATCCCGATAGTGAACCTGTGTACTTTTTTTTTCTTTTTTTTTTTTTTCTTAGCAAATTTTCCATAAAAATCCCTTGAGCGCAATTTGAAAACTTCGTCCTAGTTCAGACTCGATAACAAGGCGGGGCTGTGCAGTACACGGTACCACCACAGCAGCAAGAAACACTTTAAAAATACCTGATAAAGTCCAAAACAACAGGAATTATGCGTCAATAATAGACATTAAATGCTGTATTTCAGAGATGTAGTTCCGTCAGACTGGCTCAAAGGAAGAATACAGATAACTGGAATTATTCTGCTGAAAATCTGTATCCAGAAGCTTCTCAGTGTCTTCAGGTATGGAAGTAATTAACAAACCTGCAGAGGATAAAATGAACTGGAGGCAAAACAGAGAGGTACAACAGGGACAGTCTAGTAAGAGTCAAAAAAAAAAAAAAAAAAAAAAAAAAAAACAACAAAAAAATTCTGTCAACACAATTCAATATTTATATTTACACTCACGCTCTCATTCATACGTACAGAAATTTTGCCGAGGTATTAAAGTCGCCTCAGAGCTCGCTTTTTATCTGCTTTCTTTTTCCCTGCTACATTATTGGTGTTACTACTACTGTTGCTATTGCTGCTGGTGGTACTGGCTCCGTTAGCTCCGTTACCCAGAGCTGCTGGTACTGCTGCCACGCTGGGCCCCGCTCTCTTCATGGGGTCACCTGCGTGCTTCTTTGGCTGTGGGCCGTCGTTAGGGTCCTGAGGAGCCCCGGAGGTCCCGCCCGGCCCCCCCATGGCGTGGATTTCTGTGAGGAGACGGGCGCGGGACTCATACTCGGCATAATCCTCTAGCAGCAGGCGGCCAGCCTCTTCGTTTAGCGCCGACTCAGGGTTTGGATGGATGAGAAGACACTTGATGGTCTTTTTTTTTTTTTTTTTTTGGGAAAAAATAAAGCAAAAGTTTTAGAATTATGTCGTAGATGTGTTTCCGTTACAAAAGTCTGCACGAATCTTGTCTATTTTCTAATGCTGAAAAAAAAAAAAAGCAATTTCACAATAGCCTTGTTTCCATTAAATAAGAAATTAAATTAAAGTAAGAGTCACACACGAATATGCTTGTTCACACGATAAGTTTTTAAAAATCATGACAGCGATGGATGTAAATTCAACCTTGTTTTTTTTTTCTTTTTGTCATATCACTGTAAATTAATTTCAGGTTGTAAAAAGAAAAAAATAAATAAATAAACCTTACAAGTAAGACGTGTCGGAGGCCGAGCTCTGCCTTCCAGTCCCTCTTCAGCACATTGACACAGATCTCTCCCTTGTGACCCACGTTTGGGTGAAAAATCTTGGTCAGGAAATACCCCTTGGGTGGAACAGCAGGGAAGTCCTTCCCGAGGACCAGTCGCATTCGGAAAATGCCGCCGGCAAATGGTGTCCCCTCTGCCAGAGTATAAAGAATTCATCACATGCGCATGTATCTCATTACTGTGTCAAAGCCAGTCTGTACAAATGTTTTACCCTCCAAAAAAACAAATAGCTTCACAAAGCTGCAGCTGAGAGGGGTGGGGTGGGGGAAAATCAATCAAAATTAAATTCCTATAATCTTATAGGTTCTGATATCACTTTCTGCATCACAGACATACAAACAGAGTGATGCAGAGTGCTGCGTGAAGGAGTGAAATATCTGATCTGCCTCCTCGTGGTTCAAAGGAACAGGAAAAGAAAATAGACGCACAGAGATAACATGGAGGCCACTGATTATCGTTCATCTATTTAATCTGACTCAGACAACACCAATTAAGTACTTACATGATAAAAATAGGAGCAGAGTAATAGTATTATTATTTTTTTTTTTTTTTGTGTGTGTGTTGCACAGACTAACGTCATCGCAATGCTTTTTTTGCACAGAATGTTTGCAAAGGAAAAAATAAATAAATAAAATCAGTGCAGTGCTAGTTTTTTTTTTGCTACCAAGTTACTTTACCCATAAATAATACCTATATCTGATATTTTCCTGTTCTGCAATGACTGATTGAACAAGATCTTAAAAGCTTCATAACCATTTCCCTGGCATGTCTGCGTGTTCCCTCGTCTTCATGACGCCTTTTGATCTCCAACAAAATTTTGAAGGCTTTTGCTGAACAGTTGAATTAATACTGAGATTAAATCAGTCATAGGTAGACTGTATTTACATAATTCCTAGGCTGTATTTTGAATTGAATATATTGAAGTTTTTGGTACATATTTTGAAAAAGTTGAATGACTATGAATACTTTTCTAAAGCACTGTCATTTTTGTGCTTTACGTTTTTGCTTCACTACGGTTACGGAGGAACTTTTTCTCATGTCTTGTAATGTACATAGTTAACAATAATAACAATAATAAATTCCCTTTTGAAACTATAAGATTAAGATATTACACAATTACAATAAAAAATTCTAATGTTATTTTTTTTTTCTACTTTGTAGTTAATTGCATGTTTCTATGAGCCATTATCAAAGCTGATGTATGATACACAATCTGAATAAGATTATGGCTACCTTAAAAAGGGAAGGGAAGAATTTCAAAGAATTAAACAAATAAATGCAAACAGAAAATTCCTATTTCTATGAAGAGGTTACACTCCAAACTTTACCTGGTCCTTCAATAGACGTGTGAAGTTCAGTTATGTCTTCTTCACTGGGATAGATCTTGATGCCCTCTGGGGGGTCTGCAGCCAAAGCGGAAACTTCTTTGTAGACCAGCCGCAGAACGTGGGGGGGCAAATTCTCTACATTAGAGTTCTGAAGAGAAAGATTATTAAACCTTTAGCAAACAAGAGGTTGTGCAATAAGGTAAGCCCATTAGAAAGCAAGTAAATACATTTTTAAAATCCCTAAAGAACTTACAACCTTGCTGGGCAAGTGGTAGTGCCAGGCAACATCATATTGTTTAGATTAAAAATTATTATTACTATTATTTAAATTGTGATTTTTATTTTTTCTACTCGGGAGTAAAAACCAACCTTGGGAATGTGCAGCAGATTCAGAAATGTTCAAGTTCAAAATCAAACAGAAAATTAAGGAAAGATGAAATAATTACAACATATGGCTCTGACCTTAATCTATTTTTTACTAAACTGAAATAAAAAAAATAAATATATGCTGTTGATTGACAAAGTTTTAGATAAAAAAAATTGTGAATTTTTTTTTAGCATTTAGCATACCAATCAGCTAAACAAACAGGACCATTTTGATTTATGGATGAATTGATTTGTGCATATGTAGTTAAATGTCCATTAGATAACAAAAGCAAAAGCCAATATTACGACTTCTGTCTCTGACATGATAGAAGATCTAACATGTTGTTCCTTAGAGCTTACAAATTTTGAGTACATGGCACTTAATGCTAAGAAGCAAAAACATTTTTATTAAAACCACTGGTCTCAACACAGAAATTATTCTCAAAAATAGAGATTTTGCCACAGACTTTCCTACTTAAAACGTATTTCCATTGACAGTTCACTTGAAAAAGACCGTCTTTTTCAAGTTATAATTTATATCAATCTGGCATGAAATAAACTATCAGCAGCATTTCATTACACTCCTTTTCCTTAAGTACTCTTTAGTTAATTTAGTTTGACTACAGAATCTGTTTTACACCTCAATGTATTTTCACTAACCTTAGATATAGTTTTGAATCTCTTGTGCCAGCGGTCAAGACAAAGTTTTTTCAAAAGATTAAAATAGCTTTATCTGTCTATTTGGCTCTTACCTTTTAAGAAAAACACATTATAATTCAGCATTAAAGGTAAGTTGTCTGTAAATTATTTTATTGAGCATCTCTTAGAGAAAGTTAATTATAGGAAACGGTTAGCATTGCAAACCCTAGCTTAGGACAGTTAATATCAAGTCTTAACAGCTGGAAAACTACCAGTTTCTTTGTAAATCCCGCTACTGATTTGACTAAATGAAAAAGTTATCCTATTATTAAAACACACATTTCAACAACAAAAAAAAGAAATATTCAGGAGAGCCTTCGACGAGTAAATGTCGGCTCAAGCTAGCAGCTAGCTGTTAGCAATAGACTGGGTCATGAATCTTACCATCTTCGAGAAGGACGACGAATGTATGGTTTGTGTCAGATATAAAGAAGTTTTTCTATTATTTTTTTTATAATAAATGTCTCTGATGAAAACTTAAGCCTGCCTCGGACGTTATTGTTTTTCTTTTCTTCTTCTATACGTTGACACAGGAACAAAAATACGTTCTACGGTTTAACCTACTGCCGCTGACCAATGATAAGATTGGTTACGTGATACGTCAGAAAGGTTTAGCCAATCATGGTGCAGAATTATCGTTTCATCATAGAGGACGGTCCTATCAGCTTCAGAAAGTTAAAATCATGAGTTTTACTCTTCAGTCATTGGTTCTTTTGAAAAAACTTACAAACCCCGATCAATACAGGGTCAGCATCATTTAAACACCAGCATAAGTTAGCGGCGCCTAAAAATCTCAAGTGTGGAGTCTCCATACCATACCGTTTAAATCAGGCCAATGATTTTAAAATCAAGCATCAGTATTCTACTTTTATGCTTAAAAAGGGCAAAAATATTTGTTTTTGTTAAATATGTGACATTCTGAAGTGGTAAACCTAACAGTAATTACTTATATTATTCCTTTCACATGGTGTTATTATTATGCAGTTGACAAAGCATTAAATCTTAATTGATTATGCTGTATAACTGTATAAGATTTAATGTGTAGCAACTGTTAGTAGCAGACGCAATTCTTCAAATTTACCGAGGGCTAGCGTTTCTTTGTAGTTCAAATAATTTCTTCCACTAATCATCATTGGCACGAATCAAATCACTGACCATACGCCCCAAAAGAAAGAGGAGTAACAAATGCAAATGAAGTGGATTAGCAGTGCCTACCAACAACTGATGGTGTCATCAAGGACATATTACTGTGAATATCATCTCTGTGCTGGAAAATGACCTGTCTTACATCAACTGTCCTCAGTCAGAGGTCTCTGCAGATTTGTTGCAAGACTGACTGTTACTGGAGGTCCTTCCTGCCCACCATGCAAAATGACTCTGAAGATATTTGAATGAAATGAGTTGCAACAACATTTAATTTTCCTTTGAGATAAAGTATTTTTGAATTGACGATTTGAATCAGAAGACATAACTTAAAACTGAAAATTATGTCACTCCTCACCTAACTCGTTCAAAAATCAATAAGATTAGTTTTAAATTCTCAAGCTAACTACTATGATAAATACAAACTACTAATAAAACAAATTCTCAGAAATAGATGTATTCACACATGTAAAGCATGAAGTTGAATTAGATCTAATTATCTTGTTTTAGGTTAGCTATAACTACTAAAATTGTTTATATTCGTTAATTTCCAGAGAGAAAGAATATATCAGATATGTATTTTTTAATGTCTTCAGAACCAGAAGTTATGTAAAATTATTTCTCATTCTGAAGACACTGATAAAAGCTCAAAAAGTGTTAAAAATAGAGCAAAAACAAGATTAACAATAACAACAATGATAGTAATTATGTACTGAGCAAGATTGTAACCTAAAATACTGTGCAGTTATTAGAATAGAAATATTGTATTCATAATCCAAGAGATGTGCCACTGAGAAGAATGAATTTTTAAAAATTACATAATGTAAAAAATAAGAATAAGAGTGAATAAGTCATAGAGTTGCAGTAAATGAGACAGAAATGGTTCTGGTTTGGTTTTTGTAATCTTACTTCCCACTCAGTCTAGGTGTCTTTGCACTCATTAAAAGGAGCAGAGGTCCATTTCCACACCTGTACCAAAAGGTCCAGTGTTTCAAAATCTCATCCAACAGCCCTGCAGTGAGTCTTTCTGCCAAGAAAACTAGTCTTATATATATAAAATAAACGTACAGCCTTTTTCTAAAATGTTTTCAATTAATTTTTTTCATCAAAATTCTACACATAGTGCTTCATAACACAAAGGTAGAAAAACAACAACAAAACAAAACAAAAAACAAAGGCTATTTTTAAAAAGTAATTAAAAAAATAAACTAACAACACAAGGAGTTGTCTGTATTCTTGTGTGAAAGGACAAATCTGTCTCAGATGTCTACAGACAACGGCTGGGACTTTGTAGCTCGGCTTCTGTTCTGATATCCACTGTTGTGTATAAGACTTTATATAAGACTGTTCCCTTCCAAATCACATCCAATCAGATGAAATTAACTCATTTGGACTCTATGAAGTTTTAAATTACAGTTTACAATTATAGAATAGATAGCATAGGATAAGGCAGAATAGAGAATGCATAAAATATTATCTTCATGTGCTGCTGCTACACATTAATTTCTCCACATAAATGTTTATTCTATTTAATTTTATCTTATTTTTACACTGTTTCTTGTTCTATCTATCTATCTATCTATCTATCTATCTATCTATCTATCTATCTATCTATCTATCTATCTATCTATCTATCTATCTATCTATCTATCTATCTGGTTGTTTTCCAAATGGTCGCAATCTTTCACTTCACAAGACTCACCACTAGAGGGCACTACTGTCACGCTCTTTGGAGTTGCAATCTTTGGAAGTCGTAAATTAGCTTCGACTGTTTTTAGTTTTTATTTATTTATTTATTTATCCCAGTGGGTTAAATCTATTATTTGACACTGGGGGAGTTTATTTTACCGCTGTGTTCGGGGTGTGTGTGACAACCTCTCAACAACAGCAGCATCACAACAACAAGAGCTCTACTTCCGGTTTTAGACTCCAGCATCATTTGAGGGATTTGCTTTATCAGCAGGTCAGTGGTTTCATTTGGCTTTTGTTGAATAATAATAGTCCACTCTGCTGCTGTTTTCCCGACTGCCTGCAGCCGAAAACAGAGTACAATCAGCGGGCTGTCACAAATAGCCTCGGCGTCAGGGTAAGCAGATGCTAACTAGCTTGAGAAGAGCTGTAACGTATAACGCTTCTCTAAAACGTTACTTTTTCCCCCCTCTCTCTCTTCCTCTCTCTCTCTGTGTGTTTGAAGTTTTAGTATGAACGACGGGGAGGTGTTTCACGAGAAGCAGCGCTTGGAGCTGTGCGCCATACATGCGCTCAACAACGTGCTCCAGGAGCGGGTGTTTACCAAGGAGACAGCCGATGACATCTGTAAACGGTAACCCAGTCACTTCACCCTGGCACACAAACACTTCATCACTACACACAAACATCAGAGCTGACGTTTTGTGACAACGAATGGCAGTTTTAATCACCAGAAAGTCTAAGATAAAACAAACAAAATTCAGTTCAAATTGAACAGCACCTCATTAGATGCCGCTGTGACTCTTACTCAATTATCTTAAGAGTCAGTGTAGATGGTGATGGTGTGGGCAGGAGACATTTACAGCAGCAGTCCGTGTCGCTGTAAGTTTGATGAAGCCTCTGACTGAAGACTGTTGCTGCATGACATGCTGACAGCTCAATTTCCAGCCATCAGAAATGATATGTCACAACAGTGTCTCCTGGATGACACCATCAGCTGTTGGCAAGCACTTTCAAGTCATCTTTTTGTTTTTGCCGCTCCTCTTTAAATGTCTGTAAATGTCCAGAAAGCTGGACAGAGTGATGTTGAATTTGAGGATATCACTAATGGACAAGATTGTTTGATCTTTCTTCTCTTTGGTTCTGCTCTTCATAAACGAAGCCTCCTTTTCAAATGTTCTGGTATTTGGGGTCATTTTATTGTAATTTGGGAATTTAATGTTTCAAAGGTAAAGGTAATTTTATTTATATAGCACATTTCCAGCAACAAGGCAATACAAAGTGCTTTACAGGAAGTAAAAGGAAATGCAAACAAAATAACAAACGAAAAGAAGAAAAATAATCTATTGTTAATCTAAAGTAAAAGTATGTAAACTAGAAACTCCTACTCAGGGTTGGTAGATAAGTAAGTATCCTCTGGTCTAATTCCTTAGAAGGATAGGAGTCTAAAAAGTAGTTGCTAAAGTAGTTTTTCAGGATTCTAAGTTTGTTCGGGTTCTAATTCCTTTTCTGGGTTGCAGTAATAGGAGTCTCTTTGCATAACAATCTAAAAATTAATCTAATATTGGTCTAAATAGTGAGTACTCTAGAGTTTCTAAAAAAAAATAAGCTAAAAAGTGACTAATAAACTAGAATCTCTGGATTCCAAGTTCATTTTTATTCCTTTTTCTGTGTTCAAAACTCTACTTCTGCTGACACAAAAAGGCATCGTGTTTCCCAGGTAATCCACATTCTGGTGTTAAAGGCTCAAACTCTGGACAGCAAACAGAGAGTAAATTAGGTGACTGGCAGCCTTTAAATTGGTGAATATACCAGCTTGTCTCTCCACTAAGTGGACAACCATGGTGCTTGCTGAAATGGATTTGCTACATTTCAGACAAAGTCACTCTTATGAAAATGTAAGAGGAACCTTCAGGGAAAACAGTGATGCTGCTTTGCACAAATAAAGCCATTGTGGCTGCAGAGACCACTGCTCACATTGTTGGTCTTCAGCCTGAGGGAGCATGATGCAGAATGAGTCATGATCCAGGTGGGTTTTTGACAAACAACTAACACTTATTTAAAGAAGAATCGGAGATGGATAAAAACTTGTTTTTATTCATCACTTATTCCTCTCTCCACAGGTTAGCTCCACAGTGTGTGGTAAACCCCCATCGGTCAGTTTTAGGCACAGGAAACTACGACGTTAACGTAATCATGGCAGCACTACAGAGCCGAGACCTGGCCGCCGTGTGGTGGGACAAACGCAGGTGAGTGGTTGAAGTCGTCATGAAATGTCTTTTTGCATGAGCAACCCATAACTATGTTATAGTACCTTGCAACAGTTTAATATTTTTTTTAATTATTATTACACATAATAAACACAAACTTCAGTGTGTTTTATTGGCATTTTCTGTTACAAACTCATGCAAAGTGGCACGGAAAAGGACATATGATTTTGCACATCTAATGATAGAAAAACCATGGCACAAACCATTTTGTTTCTTTGTTTTTTTCTAACTAGCATTGAACGTCTGACTTAATTGGATTTAGTTCTGGGCTTTGACTCTTCTGAACCACTGAATGTTTTTATTTATCGCTGCCTTTTGTAAACCTGCAGGACGGTTCAGAGTCTCTGCATGTCAAAGGTCCAGGGTTTTATTCTCAACGTTCCCTCCCGAGTGTCTCTGGGCATCGTGTCCCTCCCGCTCCGGCGGCGGCACTGGCTGGCGGTCCGGCAAGTTAACGGACAGTACTACAACCTGGACTCCAAACTGAAGGGTCCCGCCTGCATCGGGGGAGAAGCAGAGCTACGGTAGGAATGTGACCCGCTCTGAATTAGGTCAAATCTTTGCTCTTGTTGCCCTGCTTGAACTCCGTCTCAGTGACTGAGTCACTCCCATGCGAGCCATCACAAGGCTCTTACTTCACTCCTTTTGTTTTGCTTCTGCACTCTGCATTCTTCTTCTACCACTTTCCTTTCTTGCTTTCTTGCAGAGCATTTCTCAGCGAGCAGCTGTCCCAGGAAGTGGCAGAGATGCTCCTGGTGGTCCGACGGGACGTGGAGGAGGATGGGTCATGGCTAAACCCCGACAGCCCAAACAACTGATCCATCTTGTATTGGAAAAACAAAACTCCTCGGGGAAAACTACAGACTTTCGTTGTTTCTTTTTAAACACTCCATTAAAGAAAAGTATTCAGGGAATGCACTAAAATACACTTAACAGACACATAAAGGAAAATCCAAAGAGAAGCAGAGGGTGAAGTTTACTCTTGAAATGAAGAAGTTTCTGATTGTAACAGCTGTTGAAGATTTCCCTCTGGTATGACCCCGTGTCTTAAAACAAAGAGGAAGCTGAAGTGGGGGTAGTTTGAGACAAATACGCTCATGAGAACGGACTGAAGTGTTTGCAGTTTTACATGTAGGCTGTGTTAATGGTTGGACAGCCGTGTTAACGGTACCTTAATTCCTGAAACACGAAGGTAAACGTGTCCTGAGGTGATTTTCTTTATCGTCGTCTCAGATTTGGGTGCTTTTCGGTCATATCAGGATGTGCCGGTGAAGCAGCTGCGTTGTCTTTTTCCTCTTTGTCGTTTCTCTTCTATGCACTGCGGAGTGGGGTTTGTGAGGTCGTAAATGTGTTTGGTTGTGCCCATGCAGGCACACGCGTACCAGGATGGCTGAACTATGAAGCAGGATCTGTGGCTACGAATCAGGAAACTTTGCCTGCTGTGAGTTCATATCGTCACGATGGCGGATCTTGCCTGCTCTGTTGAACTGAGCTGTGGGCAGCCCGGCTTGACTTTCCTTGGGATAAAATCAATACACATAAACACACCTGCCAATCATCTTCAGTGGAAAAAGAAAACAACTTTTTCTACTGAATGAAAGTGTTTTGTTATGCTCTGCTGCCTCTCGCTTTCCCAGACAAGAATCATTATGAAACATCTAGATTTCTATCTGGGAGAACAGCTGATTGGGTTATTAAATTAGTTCTTGTTGACATTTAAGATGTGGGATCCGAAAGAAAGTTTTTACATTTCAGAAGGCTTTCATTGCAGTTTTTCTTGTAGTTTCCAGTCTCCTTTGCACAGAAACAAAAACCAGTTTTCTGATACTGGTATTCCTCCAGTTCCCAGATTGTGACAGTATTGGCTCCTTTTCGGTTGTTTTTGTATTATATTATTGAGACTGCACAGCACTCCAACTACTTGTAATTGGAGTACAATTCTTGTAATTTTATGCAAATATTGTCCAAAAAACCCCCAAAAAACTGCAGGCACTACTAATTGCAAAGAAATATTTATCAAAGTGAGGTTGTACGTTTATTTTGGAACCCTGAGATATAATTTTGGCCCTTTTGTGCATTATTGTGTGCTCCCACTTTTTATTCTGAAAACTTTTTAGAGTTCTATAGATTTTTTTTTTCACCCTGGAAAATGTCAAATGCCTAAAAAGAGAAACCTAAGTTATTAAAAGTACTTGCAGATGACAGGTCTAAGCACCAGAAAATGTCCCACACTGAGTGTTCAGTGAGCTTGTTAGGGGATGATAGTTCTTCTAAAAAGCTGTCATAGATCCATGTCTCAATTAGGAAAAGCAGCGTCGCAGGATTGAAGTTATCGAGCCAGAACGAATTAATATTCTTGAATGTTTTTAAGCCTGCTTCATAGTTCCCATGTGAATCCCCATCAAAATGTACGTCTTATGTCTTTATTTTTTTCTAATAAGACGTGACGATGCAGGCAGAGTCTTATCTGCAGTGGGGTTTGTGTTTATTTCGATGAATTATCAAATAAATTCAGGTCATTTTCAGCTATCTGTAACACATGCAAAAAACAAAGCTGTTCTGTGACTGGATGCTGTATTTATGTTTGTATTTTTTGTCTCGCCCGCTGAACTATGCATACTCAAATAAGTAGGAACGCCGTCTCTGATGGACACTAGTGACTAATCCTGAACCTCTCGAGTTCCTGCTGTTGATGCTCATTTATAATAATAATAAAGGTGGACTTCTTGTTTTAATCTACTGTGACACACGCTCTGTTTTGTTATAAGAAGGAAGCAAAGGCTGTTTACAGGTTATTGAAGTTATTTTTATTTATATTAGACTCTCGAGTGTAAAAGGATGCCATTCAAAAGGAGCATTGGTAACCATACAAACTCAATTAACAGGGTCAGTTGGCAGGGAAGGGGGATTCGATGAAATCTCAAATCGTACCATATATACACAAAACATCTTGGAGAGATCCCAGAAACCCGATACTATACATAGTTATTATTGCTTGTTACGGTAGAGCTACTGCAGCACCAGTAGCAAGGGTCATATTGCTATGTACCTGCTGTCATTTGCGTGGGATTTGTAGTTTTTCCACTCCGAGTGGCAGTTGTAGTTCTCCATTAAACAAGGTAGAGTTTTTCTCCTTTTTTTTTTTTGTTTCTTTTGTTTTTCCTTTTAGACAAAGGCTCATGAATACTGAGATACAGTTCACAGTGAAATATACAGAGTAGCATCATTAAGTAGTACAAGGAAAAGACAGAATTGCCACCTATAAAAAGTAATAGTAATAATAATAAAAAAAAGACGTATACCAAGTGAAGGAACTGCATAACCATTCACAGAAAAAATGAGTTGTTTTGCTACGAGCCAGTGTGTTGGTTTTTTTTTCCCTTTTTTTTTCCTACACAATATTCATATAAAAACATGAAAATAAAACGGGTGGTACAGATACATGTAAGAATATAAAACTACAACGCTTGTAGCATCGATACCGTTCGGACTGGCCTTGTCACTGTTCACAGTTTACACAGATTTCCAACAAACAAAGGGGGAAGAAGTTAGACCGTGAGGCGTCGATTCGTAGCTTTGCACCAACAACCGGCAGCGTTGCAGCTGGTTACGTCAGCAATCCCTTCCTTTTTTTAAGTGCTTTTAATAAGATTTTTTCCAGTGGTACTGATTCACATCTAGCATTCACTTTATTTAGATTAGTTTCTTTTTCATTTCATTAAAGTGTCCATTCATATGAAAACTAAACATTTTTTTTCTATACATTTTCTAGCAAAAAAAAAAAAAAAAAAAACAGAAGAAGAATTAACGTGAATACAGGTTCCTCGAATGGGAGGGGTTGGGGTGTGATTGATTTCCCCCATAACCAGTCAGCATGCTGGGAGAGTACTGCGCTTCCACAAAAACAGGAGGTCGAGATGGTCCAGAGACGTCGCAGAGGGGAGAAAAAGAAGAAAAGACATTTATTTCTCAGACATGTGAAGATAAACGTGACAAAAGTTTCAAGTTTGGCAACAATCAAAACATCTGATACGTGTTAATCATCTTTAAATCATCGTAAATAAAATGCTTCTATTTAACTTTTTCATCAATTTGAAGGATATGCTGATTTTAACAAGCTCATATTTCTTGCTGAAAAGTTACATGTAAGTTAGTTTTCTCTTTTGTCTTTCTTTTTTTCTTTTTTTTCAGACGTACTAATATATTTGCATTAGAAACTAGAAAAAAACGACAGTAGGATTTTGTGTTTGCAGTGGAACGCAGCAAACACGTGCTTAACGTACCGATTCTGGACACTACTGTCGCAGAGTTAAGCTAAAATCACAAGTTACAGTTTTGCCAGTTTAAAATCAACGTAAAAATCATGCTTTACAGTAGGGCTGAAACGATTCCTCGAATGATTCGAGTACCT